TTTAACTCAGGAGTTGGTGGAGCTTCTTACAATTTATCTCACCATTCCAGGTCCTCATCATAGTGATCCTGTAAGGAATTCTCATATAGAGATCCTGTGATAGGGTGAGTAACGGGAAGGGACTGGGTACCCCTCTCGTTTGAAACTGTTAACCAATCTCATTTTGAAAGAAAAATCCATCCCATGTCCCAAACCCAGATAGGTAAACAGGTACCCATTAGCCGTACGGGATGGATAACGGGTACCCAAACTAAACATATATTTCCAAACTTTCAACTTCCTTCACAAATGGTCCTAGTTGTCTAGATCTGCCAGTTTTGAAGACAACCATATTTACCCAAACTTTCATAAATTTCTTGGGAAGGCTGGCTTTCAGGGTCGCTGGGTCGAGGACTGAGAGAGGAGTCATAAAGAGGAGTCGTCGAGTCGTGGTTGGGGCTGATTTTCTTCTCCTGAAGTCGTGAGACCGCGATTACATCTTTTTCCAATATTCCGAGGAATTAAAGGGATAGGGATAGGTGAGGAGTGGAGCGGAGTCGTCGGCTTGGGGTCGGGCTAAGGCTGAGGCTGCGCAGGTTAATTGGTTTGAATAAGAAATTTATGTAATTGGTATTACGAGTACCCATACTACCCAAACGAGTATTTACGTGTAACCCGTGGGTACCCAATGTAGAATTATCATCCCAAGTTCCATCCATTACTAAATATTACAGGTATTTGGGTACTTGTAACCCTAAAAAAGGGACGTTTATGGGTATATCCATTTTCCGTTGCCCACCCCTAATCTCGTGTGAAGCTTGATCTCTATCTCCTTCTCTGTCTCTTCATTCTCCTCAAAATCATCATCTTTGATGGGATACTTCTCCTCCTTCTTTTCAATAGAACCCACTACTTGATGCATGATCTTTCCTACGTGTAGTGTAATTTCTCTTTTTACTGCATTGATCATGGAACTAGAAGTGGCTAGAAATGGACTACCCAAGATCAAGGAATATGAGGTTTCTATCTTCATTTCGATCACTACATATTCTAAAAAGAAGATGAATGGCCCGATTGGGTGCTTAGTCTTTGAAGGACTCCAATGTTGACATGGGGTGTTATCCACCATCTTGATCTATATCATTCTCCTCTATTTCAGCTAGACCCATATCTTGATAGAGAGGAAGTGGTAGGATGTTGATGCTAGAACAAAGATCCACCAAACCTTGTTCTACATAATGGTCATCTAGAAGACCATTGCTCTTGCAATGACAGGATCCTCCTTCAATTCATATACTCGAATGAGTTCTTTGTGTCCATAAGGAGTTGAGTTGATGTCGATCTTCTCAATATTCTCCTTCTTTAGAAGTTGCTCGAGCTTCTCCCTTGGGCTCTCCATAGCAATAATGCTCTCCAAAAGTGGCATGACACTCTCTTCTCCTCCTGAAAAATCTATCATCTTCTTTACCATTGACGTACGTCGAGAGGCTTATTCATGGATGACCATCTCCTTTGAGTTTATATCATCATCTTTGTCCTCCTTCTTTGTTTGAGAATTCCATTGTGTGGGCTGGATTACTTTCTTCCTCTTGCTTCCTTTCTTTGATGATCCTTCGTTCCTCCACCATCTTATATAGATGGATTTTCACAATTCCTCCTTCCTTGAAAAATCTCATCAGAATTGAGCTCCCACGAGTTGTTTCACCAATTTCTGGCTCTGGATGCTCTTGATCTTCATGAATTGATGGGAGGAAAAAGAAGAGGGGGTGACCTCTCTTTCATAGGCAAGCGGTGAGTGGCCAAGGGGTAGTACCGATTCTCATTTCCTTATCAGATATGGACTATTTCGAGTCCTGATGCATGTAGAATATGCAAACGAAGTGACAGGTAGCAAGGACGAGTCCAACCACTTCTTGGAAGTGGATTGATTTGAATCCTCTTTCGTGTAGGATAAGGAAATTTAGCATAAGTTGAGTAGGTTTTCCAACGACGGTGGTGTGCCGAGTAGGACTGTCGTAGCTTTTCCTTCTTTGTTTCTGAGAGTGTTCTCCTGGTTCTTGAGTTGAGGGATTCGTCAATATCATAATCTTTTTTTTTATCTCTTTGCTCTATTTATTTGTTTACTTTCCTGTGAATTTCAAAAAACAAAAGAAAAGCATCAAAGTAACAAAACATAGGGAAAGCATGTGCTTCTCCTCCTCAACATGAAATTGAAAATAAAACTAACTTAGACATCCGAGTTTTCTCCTTGGTAGCACTTTTATTTTGATCTTTATGGTGGATGCTAGACACGGGTTGCCTCCCATTAAGTGCTCTTTCCTTTATGCCTTTGAGCTAGGCATAGCTCCTCCTACTTCTAGGTCCCAAATTAAGGCTTCCTTGAAATCCATCGTCTTGATTTTAGGCACCAAGTGTGTATCATCCTTCTTCTTATGGCTTGATGCCACCTTAGTATCCACCTTGTACCTTTTACCCCACACTTTCAATTTTGAATTATAGGTATGTGGTATAGGTAACGATATAAGGAGCGGTTCATGCATTCCACTCGTTGGGTTAGATATAACGCTACGGTCTCATGGATTTTCAAAAATGCTACAAAGGGATCCTCATCGAGTAGTCGACTGAAATCTGGCTTGACTCCATCATGTATCGCCACCAAGATTTTTAAATTTTATTCATGGGTTCCAACCTCAGAAATGTCATCCTCCATCTTTCCAAAACCATTATGCATGTCATTGAGGCATCCTTTATCAGCTTTGGGATGACCCTTGATACTTTCAAGAGCTTGTAGCAGTTGCTCTAATCTTTCATTTTTTATATTATCTCCAGGGATCTTCGTAAACTCCAGCTTGATCATTGATTGGCATCTTGTGTTGATAATAACAAGAGCTTGCCCTATCTCCTCTATGGTTGAGTTATCTCCAAACATCTTTTAAATTAGCTCTAACTCGATTGGATCTGTATCATCATCATCATCCCAATCTATTTGTGTTGTTGATTGTAGTATTGTGATGCTTGAGGAATGTTTGGGCTGATAATCCATTTTGATGATTGGACGTTCCTCTTGGGGTTCCTCGTCTTGATGCTCATCCATTGGTTGATCATCCTTCTTCCTTACACCAAGAGTGCCTGACTCGCTACGACACAACATCAAACAATGGCCAAGTGTAACCAATAAATGGAAATGCAGAATAGTGGGTAAGCTTTATTTATTAACCCGGGGTATAGATCTACTGTCTACTCCGTGAAATTCTATTATCTAGCAGTAAGGGTTGAGTGATTGTGATTCTAATCTTAAGCAGAAAGAAAGCAGTAAATTGTTCAGTTTACTTAGCAGAATAAGAGTCACTCGGGAATGAATCCCCCTATCTCCTCAGTTAGGTTCAATTTGTAATTCCCCTTGGTTGATTACTATTAATTAGACTGCGGAAGATCCGAAAATAGCTTGCAATTTCTTAAGTTGACCAAGCCCTCTCAGACAGAATATTCGGCAGACGACTAGCTTTCACCGGAATAGACTGCTAAGGCGATTCACATAGAACTCCACTACTAGAATTGGATTCCAGTAGAAAGCAGTGAATTGACTAACTCTCGTACAATCAATTCACTCATATCGATTGAAGAAACTCTAGCAATCTAATCAGATTCTATCGATCATAAGTTGAAGCAGAAATCAAAAGAAGTTGATCAGGATTCAATTGACTCAATAAACACACTTCAATCGATTAAAACCAATCAATACATAATTCCAAAAGTCATTACAATCAAAATTCCTAACAGATTGAACTAGGGTTCTTCATATCCAAGTGAGATAAAAGTTTACCCCATATAGAGAGAGGGAAACAAAATCATAGAAATCATACTCTAATGATGTATATGATAAGCTCTGGGATGTAAATCTTCACTCCAAGGTCGAAATCCAAGCTTGAATGGTGAAACCAGCTCCAAAATCGATCATAGGGTTTGTTATTCATCCTTTCTCTCTCCAAAACTCTGTTTTTGCTCTAAAAACTCGATTCCGCCTCTTTGGCTCGAAACAACCTGTTTAACCCGACACTAGGCAACCTATGGGCAAGGACACGGCCGTGTTCTGCTTAGTTCGCCCGTGTTTTGAAATCTTCACGTGGGAAACTTAAGTTGGGAGCGGGGGATTACACGACCGCTTCTGAAAACACAGTCGTGCCCCGTGATGAACACGATTGTGTTTTTGTATCCATTCGCCCGTGCTTTGAAAGCTTCAGGAGTTGCCGCGAACCAACCTTTGGCATAATAAACACAGGCAAGGCCCCTCTGAGACATAGTCGTGTTTTATAAAAAGCCGCCCGTGTTCTTTTCTAAACTCGACATCATCTTCGCACTAAAAAGCACTGGCGTGCCGCCGGGCGAAACACGGTTGTGTTCCTAGGGAAAGCTGGTCGTGTTCTTCTCCAACTTCGCCGAATGACCTACAAACGACCCGAAACTCGCGCCTAGGCCTTTCTTTAACGACTAGGACCTGGAATGTGACAAAAGGGCACAACCCAGCGTAAAACAGGCCAAAGAAATACAGATTCGAGCCAAAACGGTTAAGAAACAGGGGTGCAAACATGTGCAAATAAGACGTTATCAGTGCCCTTGTAAATGGTGAACTCTTCATGCTCGACCCTTACTTCCTCAAAGTTCTTGTGTTTCTAAGGTTTGTGTAGATATTCGAGAAAATGATGTAAGGATATCTTGAAGTGGTCCATCCACTTCAAAGCTTGGTTCTTCTATGCATAAAGCTTCATCACTTAGCGAAGGTGGGATTGCTACTCCTTGCTATTTTTCCTGTATGGTAGAGGATGTTGTAGAGGTTTCTTCTTCTCCAAGATCAAAGTTGTAGTCTTCGTCAATTTCCTCCTCCCAACTCGAGTTGAACTCTTGATGGGTGTGGCTTTAAATTTCCTCCATTGAGATAGATGATATATCTTATTTGATTGAACTCCTCCATGATCCCTTGGATGGTGGTGGCATCTTGATCCTCTCCTAGGTTGGACTCCATGTTGGTCTGGTCATATTTCTTATAGGTTTCTCCTCTTGAAGCTCCTCCTTTGGTTGGAGAGGTTGAGATGGTTGCTCCTCTAGTGGCCTTTCACCTTCCTTATCCACGTGAGGTTTATCATCATTAGGTGTAACTTCGTCATTCAATGCTTGGTTCCAAAGGTTTTGTTGAACTTCGAATAAGCGATGCAGGGGGATCATCACACTTTGTCTATGCCTCTAGGATGTTTTCAATGTTTGAGTGTGCCTTGGTAATTGATTTGCATGTGGATATATATTAAAGAAAGCGTAGGTTTGGGATGTAGTCTTTGACATCTTCCCCCAAATTCCATAATTCTCGGATTAGAGTGTAGACTTCAAGACTGCATCCTAGCTTCAATTCAATGCTACCTCTAGGGGCGGTATCTCATCCTCTTCTTCTTTAGAAGTTGTAAGATCATCATCTTCATCAATAATTTCGTTGGTCTCCTTATGATCTTCTTCTTTAGGTTCTTTGATAGGTTGATCGTCCTTCTCTTCTGGGATAGGTTCAAGATGCTTGGTCATAGTTTTTATGGCTTGGAAGAAGCTTTGATCAAGTTTTGAATAGCTTTCTTTGTCCATTGCATATTCTTGACAGTGTCTCTTGCCTTCTTCTCCCAAAGATTGAGCTATAAACTCATCTTCTTCTCTATTGGCCTCGTGTTGATCCTCCTCTCCATGCTCCCCTATTTCTTCACCTACTCTCACGTCTAATGTGTTGGCATTGAGATGATATTCCTCTTCTCCATGGTCCACGAATTTTGCACACTCCTTAAGCCCTTCGAGATCCATGGTCTCTCCATATTGACTCCTTAGCATGTAGGTTGCATACTCTGCATCCATCTCTTGATGTTGGTATTGAAGGTGTATAGAGAGTCAGTTAATGGTTAATTGACAACTAACCGGATATGAATATCTATGTTTCTCTCCCAAAAATGGTCATGTCACTCCTAAACAAACTCTCAAACTTTGAACAAGCAATCTCCTCCCCACTCCGACCCTCTTCTTCTTTGCTCAATTTTCTCCTAGTGTGTGGCTTTAAATTGAAAGAGGCAAAGTGGATCGTCAATTTTCCGATTGAAATATAGGCATCAAGATTGAATTGGGAAGGTCATCTGATTTATGCTGGAAGAAAGATTGCAAGGACCGCACCCTAGTATCTTCCATCAATGACTTCCCTCACACAGTCCACACTCGCCACTCTTCCCCTTCCTCTCTTAATTTCTTTTTCTCAGTTCCAATAGAAACAACAACTCAAACCCCAATCAATAATAAAATTTCTATAAAAAACACATACATGTGTAGAAAAAAAATCTAAAAAGGAAAAATTTGAAAAAAAAAAGAGATGCCTTCTGTTGGCCTGGTTACTGAGTGGTTTTTTTGGCCTAACCTTTGCCGAACTACTTGTTAAATGGTTAGTCGATTAACTGACATAATGAGTGATAACCGACTATACAGTTATAACAAAATGACTAATATAAATAATGTGATTAACGGTAACCAAAATTTACTTAACCATTTATCGATAACCAAAGAAATTGTTACTGTTACAACCAAATTGATTGTAAAATTACTGGGGTACCACTTAAGTTTGAGAATTGGGGTAGGCATGTTACTTAAGTTTGAATAGGGCATCAGGTACCATTAAAGTCGCCAAAAGGTGCATTCGTCTAGTTTTCCATCCAACCCAAATTTTAATTACCTTTAAGTACCCAGAACTTATAAAAACCTCCAAAACTATACTTTTACAAGTATTATCTAATATAAGAACCTTCTAAACATAGTATTACTATGATGGCTAATGAAATTTTCTCAATAAAATAGATAAATTAGTAAAAATAATAAACGAGTATCTAGAAGGAATAATAAATATACTAGAAGATAATAATTGTTTAAAATCAATATTATAAAATCTATTTAAACCCCTAATCCAATTAGAAGCACCACTAAAAAGTTAAAATAGAATCTAAACGATTATCAATACATCAAGACCAAAGAAAGATAAATGGAACAAAATCACAAAGAATTAAACATATTCTAGCAATTGAAAAAATCGAGAACGAAAAAATACGAAAGTAACAAAGTAATAAGTAAACTATAAAAGCTAAAAAATTCAGTAACAAATCTAGAAAAAAGTATAACTATAGGAAGAAAATTAGAATTAGTAAATTGAATTGATATGAAACATCTACAATATATTATTAGAGAATTACACGAAGATTTAAAATGAAAAATTAGACACACCAACATGTTATAAAAAACTTAAATACAACATTCTCATATTATTTATATCGAGACAGAATTCAGAGGATATATTTGCTCCGTGAAATAATTCAATTATTTGAACGCATAATGATAATTAAAAATATTTATAATGATAATTGATTCCAAATTTTCTATTCAAAATTGATTTTATGAGAGCCTTTAAAAGAGGATTCCAACTAAACAATATAAAACTTATGTTTTTCATAAGTTTAATGGACTTTTTTAGAATAAGGAAAGTAGAAAGACCAATTCTGAAATTTAAAAAATGGAATATTCCATGAATATTCTGTCAACTTTAACGGGATACATTTAAGAGTAAACTTAATTGGTGCCGGGTGCATATATAATAGAGTTCAGTGACACGCGATACCCTATTCTTATTTAAATAGTAGGCAAAATACACTTGTATAGCGATAACTTTCACACTTGTGACAAATATACCATAACTATTCGAAAACACAAAATAACCAATTCCGTCCATTTTGTTAACGACGTCAGTTGACGGTATAACTAGACTTAACGGTAGAAGCTGAGTGGGCGATTGATTTACCCCACCAAATGACGTGGATTAGAAGCTGAGTTTCCCCCTTTCCTCCTCTTGTTTGATGTTGAATGCTACTCTTCGAGGTTGGGTACGGGCAGCAGGGGGAAGGATCTGGTTTGTGATGGGAAAGCTTAGAAGCACAGGGACGACAATTCGTCCGGTACATTTTTTGACCCAAAAACTCATCCTCTCTCCTTCTATTTTTCTTTGGTTGATTTGATTTCAATTTTTTGAGATTCAAGTTTCTTTCCAGAAATATTATTAGGTTTAAGAGGAGTAATGGAGGATCTGATTATTTGGTTTAGGAGGAGTAATGGGGATCTGATTTGATTAGGTTCCAGAACTATTATTACCCGATTCTTCTTCTTTGTCGTCGTCGTTTTCTAAAGATTGTTTTTTTCCCGATCAGCTACTATGTTCGGTGAGCTACGGAGGCTGGAGCTACGGGAGACAGAAGAAATCAATGTGGCGGAGAGAATTAATTTTATTCCTTATTTTTTGCTGACACGTCCACATGTCAAATTTTGCTGACCTGGAGCTTAGGTGTGGGATGGGTATGATCCTAGTCAGCGTTTCGTCACATTTACTGATGCCTTAACAAACGACGTTACAGTTTGTAACGGAAATGGATAGATTTGTCACACGATGATACACTTTTTTGGGTATTTCGTGTATTTCGATAGTTATGGATATATTTATCACAAACGTGAAAGTTATGGATATAAAAGTGTATTTTGCCTAAATAATATACCTTCTCTAAATCTCATATCTTAGTGGTATTTTAGATATTTTACCCAAATCTACTAACAACCTTATAAAAAATCCATTAACAGAAAGGTAAATTAATTACAGGTTTTGGATCGGAAATTAATTTCTAATTTTCGTCGAGTGTTTCGAGGGTAAAGTGTCATCGTTTCCTGGGTCGCTAACGCTGTTTTCGCAAATAGATGGACTAGAGGCCCAATAATCTAATCGAAAGGCCACAAAGAGCAGTCATGCAGGTGCAGAACCGGCCACAACGTCTTTCTTGTTTGAAACGTCTCCGGCTCCGGTCTTCGTCGGCGTTGTCCGCCGTGGAGTGGCGAGAGACTAACTGGACAGTAAGACGGGATGGAGGAAGGGGAAGTGCTGGAGCTCAATGAGCTTCATTACTCCGATATAATGTTGATATCTTCTGATTCAACAGCGAACCCTAATCTGCTAAACGATAATGTCCCAATTCCCTCGCCCGAAGAGCGACGGTGACTGGAAACGGTCAGGAGGACGGTAATGGAAACCCTAGGTCTGACGGGCACAGGCCTTCTGTCCATCACCGCGGTCCGTAGCGCTTCTCTTCTTCGCAGAAGCCTTCTCCCTCTCGCGAGAAACCTCGCTCTTCTGGACAACGACAAGCGGACGCGCATTCTCAAGGTTTGTCGTCTTTCCCCTCAAATCCCGCTTCTTCTCTCTCTCACTTGATGAGCTTGTGTTCGATCGTTTGGTTGTTGTTTAGCTGCAACCAGCGGGGAGTTGAAAATGTGAAGCTGCATGAGGGGATCTTACTGGAGCAGGAAATTGACTACTGTGATTCTTGCCAAGTGCAGCTACAAATTGCTAATTGCAGGAGTATGGCCTGGGGAGTGACGTTCCATTGAAGAACCGTATAGGAAAGTATCTTCCTTTGAATTGATGTATCTTCCTTTGAAATGATGCTGAAATACATTGAAGTTCTCGAGTCTGATCAAGCTGGTTATCCACCTTTCAGCTTTGCAGTGACTGATTTGGATACCGACAGTAGCTACATAGATTCAGTGTCAGGGGATGATGAATAAAAGAATGTTACTAATGTTTTCAAGGAGCTAGGATTATGTCTTGCGCAAGTGTGTGACAAAGCAACAGGTGGCAAATAGTTGGAGAAGAGCTTGCTTGAATCAGGCACAGCAAAGGGGCGTCTCATACATTATCGTTCAACCTTTGATGATGGTGTTTGACAAGAAACCTGCGAGAAGAAACCTGTCATACATTATCGTTCAACCCTTGATGGAGGTGTTTGAAAAGAGACAAGACAGTTAGAACACTCTGCTTTGGTTAAAAATGGTGGTCATGACAAGCTTGGGCAGCAATGGCATTATGATTACAGTATCTTCACTGTTCTGACAGCACCTATGTTTCTTGTTCCCTTTCATCTGTCATAGATGGGATAACATGTGGTGTTCCTTCAGTTACTTATGTATGCTTAATAATGCTCTTATCCTGGTGTGAATTCGTATTTGCAAGTTTTTCAGCCGAACCATAATACAGTACTCATGGTGAAAGCTACTCCAGTGATTTTCCTCGTTCAAGTTGTGGAGAACCAGCTGATATAATCTCAAAGGGAAAAGTCCGATCGACTCTTCACTGTGTAGGCAGGCCAGAGAAGCAGGACTATTTAAGCATAGAAATGTTTGTGGGGTTTTGCAGCCTGCTTGGAGCAAAACCTTCTCGCTCTCTGGTTGCAATTGCTTGCAGCACTCTTGTATAGATGATCGATGGTCAAGTGAAGGAAATGGCTGCTCCAGGCATGGTTCAAATGGCTTGAAGGAACATATTCATAAAATGGTTCCACCACCTTCTTTGCGTTTAATAGAGGAAATGGCATTTGCTGAATGCCCAGGTAAAACTACCTACCGGTATTATGGGGGTAGTGGATCGCAGTCAAACCATTAGCCAGCTAGTGCTTTGGTTCTTTTTGGGGACTTCTGATGAAGCCTGCTCCTGGTGAGAAAGAATTTTATGATCTTTCTGCTACAATCATGTGGTTCCTCAGTTAGCATTAATGAACTTAGTTTGCATAGCCTTTGCTTAACTGTGTGTATAGCAATTTTCGGTATTCCCTAAACCCTTATGGATCCTACATTGTTTGTATTATGGTGCAGTCACATTTGTCAAGATGAATAAGACTTGTCTTTACTGTCGAAAAGAGCATGTTGTTATGTTATTGTTGGAAATGGTCCCCCTGTACTAGTAGTAGAAATTTTAAGTCTATGCTTCATAATATGTTACTCGATTGATGATTCATTCATACAGTTGCTTTCTGGTGTGCAGTGGTTAGTCCTTATGAGAGAAAGAGGGCGCGAGAGACAACTATGCAAACATTCTGAAGGTGAAGGGTCATTGGCCTTGGTGCTTGATGGGAGGTTTTCAGCTTCCTGTTTGGATAGTAGACATATAACTGGTCTTGGTTGGGAATGCATGCCACAAAGTACTGAGAAACTTTTTGGGGCATCGTTTCTTTTGGAAAAGGTGGCATCCATGCTCCTCGAGTTTGTCCCAAAACTGTTGTGAATCTTCTGCTCAATGGACTAGCCAGCAGAATGAGGACAAGAGAGATTATCTCAGCCGCATGTTCAATCAACTGGTGAGAAGATTGATGGATGGACTCTCTATTCCTGCTTGATCTTTAGACCTTGACCGGATTTGGGGACCTTGATGACACTATTAAGCCAAGAAGCAGCTCGAAGTCACCTGAAAGGGTATGCGTGAATTAACTACCCTTGCTCGTCACCTGCCTTGTCTGAGTTGTCCGGGATTCAACCATAACGAACCCGGATTAGACGAAATCCAGACATCTAACCACAAGGTTTATCTCAAAAGCAATAATGTGATTATCGTTTTCAGAAGCTCCAGTAATAATAAGGATGCAGAAGCTGACTATGACTGAATTGTTGAAACATCTCATCAATGTTAATTCTGGTTTGCTGCATTATTTTGCGCCCTGGTGCAGGTGGAGGGAACAGAACTGAGAAGGAAACAACTGGGTTCCAAACGTGGACAAAAATTCCAATTTTAGATTGGAGGGTAAGAGTTGGTGGTGGTGGATGGATGATGATTAGAGGGGATGTGGGTAAAAGAAGAGGGAATAAAGCAAGAAAGAGCGGTTCTTTACAAAGTGGTCACACAACTGAGGTCTGCAGCTACACCGTACAGAGAGCTTTGCTTTATCAGAGCTACAAGGGAAAGTATGGAGAGCCGGTTGAGTGCGTGGATTGGATTTTCGGGGGAAGAAGAAGACCTTTATGATCAGAAGATGGAGTAGATTGATTGCAAGGGTGGCTTTTTTTTTTCCTTGAGAAAGAGGAGAACTCGGCCAGGCAAATGGAAGATGAGAACAAAAGATGGGAGTGATGACGTAGTTAGGCATGCGCATTTTAGCCCCTTCCTCTCTTTTCTCCTTCTCCTCTCTCTATCAGGATTTCAGAACAGAAGGGATCAGCTTTATTGTCCAAAACTGCAGAGGCAAAGTGGGTGCTGAAGAACTGATTATATAGTTTTGCTTTGGACCGCTTCCTAAGCCCTAAGTTTTGTAGTTTGTCGGCCTTAGACGTTGCCAACTCTTGAGACATGCCTTAATAAGAAAACAAAAGACAGCATAGGCCATATATGATATAACCCAAACCCACCAATAGAATAGAACACTACTGCATCTCTCTCCTTCAGTCTCCCTTGCTAGCCCTACTGGCCATTCCTCAGAATTAGCTGCAGCCTGCTCTGCATGCAGGGTCAGCTTCAGCTTTGTCCAAGTTTATGGCCCCCACTTTTCTTCTTTTCTTCCTTTCCTCCTACCCCTGTTGACCCATTTCCCCCTTCACTTCCCTTCCCATTAAGGTCCAAAAAGCAGGGCAATACTATCCCTTCTTAGCTATAAAGCAACCCTAAAACCCCTACTGCTATTTTCTTACCACCTTTGCTCAAAGTTTTCAAAACCCCCACACTCTCCCTCCAACCAAAGCTGAACCCTCCATTACCCCTTTCCTTTTTCTTCCTTGGTTTCCCAAACCATTTCAGTTTTTTTGCACTCAACCCACATGGAGGAAACGCCTTTAATCAGCACCACTTTCAGGCTGAAACACAGCCCTACCACCACCACCACCACCACCACCACCACTATTCAGCTGCCAGAGAGCCCAAAAGTCCCCATGGAGTTCCTGTCGAGATCCTGGAGCGTCTCTGCCCTCGAAGTCTCCAAAGCTCTCATCTCCAATTGCTTGTCTTCGTCCATCCACACCAACTCCTTCCCCACCACCACTAGCTCCTCTTCCACCACCGCCTCCATCCCTGAAGAACTCTCCACTATGCCGGACTTCTCGGAGAACGTTCCTCCATACAATCATCACACCATTGCTGCGGCCTCCTCTTCTTCCTCTGCCCCTCAGTTCTCTTTTGCTTCCTCTGCCACCTCCCAGCTTGTTCTCGAACGTATCATGTCTCAGTCGGTAAGTCCAACTGAATATGTCACTTCATAAACTAACCTCTGTTTGTTTGAACATTTTTAAATCATGGGTTCCTTATTGTTTATTTGGGCAGGAAGTGTCGCCATTGACATCTGGGAGGCTGTCTCACAGCAGTGGGCCTTTGAACTTGGGGGAATTGGACAGTCCCCCTATTTCACCCTCTGATGAGTTTGAAGACGTGGTCAAGGTCTTTCTTATCACCCTTAAAATCTCTTTCTCTACAATACCATTGATTTACATGCACATTACAATTGTTAAACAGTAATTTCCAACCCCCAGGGAAAAAGAAAAAGCACAATGTATGGGAGACAATTGTAGCAGTATATCAGCAGAGCTTTGCGTGTCCCACTATATCACTCTCCCTTCCTCCCCTGCCTGCATTTTCTTCCTGGTTAGCGACCTAGAATATTAATAGTACAGTGCCTAGCTCTCTTACAGGCAGACAGATATTGACAGATGGTCATAGACTCAGTTGCTTTTGTCTTCTTTTAATACAAAACCCTTTTCCTTTTTCTGTTTTCTTGTGTTTATCATTGATCGTATGTTAGAGAGGTTTCTTCGTCTTGTCTTATCGACCAAGGTTGATGAAGGAAAGCTGCCATTTTGATCACGACCGATTCCATTTACTCTTTTGATTTTCCTCCAAATGTTTTTCTGTAAAAGAAAGTTTGAAAGCTGGAAATGGATACCTGTCGTGTTCCCAAGGAGTTTCTCCCTGCTATGCTCGTTTCAAGCAAAAGTCTCTTCTTCTTCTCTTCAAGCTTACGGTATCCATTTCTCTCTCTAGGGTGATAGTTGATATATGAATGAATATATCAATCAAGCACAGATTCCATTGCCAGTTCTTGCCTATTTACCACATCTTTTTCACCTTTCCTTTTCCTCGTAGTAAAAAAAGTTCTGATGTCTTTCCCCTCTCTTTGTGTTACAACTTCCAACCATGAATTACTGTAGTGCGGAGTAAATTACTGAACCGATTCCTCCCTCTTCCTTTATCGTTGCAGTACTTCCGTGCACACAAAACCATACATCCTCTATTTACCGGCGGTCGAGCCAGCGGCGGCGGGGTTGGTTCCGCCGCCGCAGGCGGCGGCACGGCCACCCCAGCCGGCGGAGGAGCGAAGACGGTGGGCAGGTGGTTGAAGGAGAGGAAGGAGAAGAAGAAAGAAGAGACGAGGGCTCACAATGCGCAGCTCCACGCTGCTGTTTCCGTAGCAGCAGTTGCCTCCGCCGTCGCCGCCATCGCAGCCGCCACCGCTTCCTCTTCGGCCGAATCAGGAAGAAACGAGCAGCTGGCCAAGACCGACATGGCGATGGCTTCGGCGGCCACTCTGGTCGCTGCGCAGTGCGTGGAAGCCGCTGAAGCCATGGGAGCCGAGCGCGAGCACCTCGCCTCCGTTGTCAGCTCAGCCGTCAACGTTCGTTCTCACGATGATATCACCACTCTCACCGCTGCTGCGGCCACAGGTTTGGTAGAATCGTGATTGGTCAAATTCAGTTACCGGAAAAGTTTCCATCTTTGTCTCGGAATTTTCATTTCTTTAATTTGGGTTTTTGTCTGGTTCCGTAGCTCTGCGAGGGGCGGCGACGCTCAAGGCGAGGGCGTTGAAGGATGTGTTGAACGTGGCGGCGGTGATTCCGATTGAGAAAGGGATCGGGATTTGTGGGGTTGGGAATGGCGGAGGGAATCCTAGAAGAAACTACAGCGGCGAGATCTGCCCTGCTGCTGATAGCTTTGTTGGGGCAGAGTTTCTAGCTCGTGGAACAGAGCTTCTCAAACGAACCCGCAAAGGTAAAGCCTCCTTTCTCATCAATTGCCCACATTACTCAGAGCTATAGGATAGTTTTACTCCGTTACAGTGAAATTGAATGTTATGTTTATGGGTTCGGCGTGCAGGGGATTTGCACTGGAAAGTAGTCTCTGTTTACATTCACAGAACAGGGCAAGTGATGCTGAAGATGAAAAGCAGGCATGTTGCTGGGACGATCACCAAAAAGAAGAAGAGTAATGCTCCTAAAGCGTTTCTGTTTCTTTTCTTCCTCTGTTGAAACAATTTCGAGTTTAGGTTTACTCTGTTTCTATGGAATGATATGCAGATGTGGTTTTGGAAGTTCACAAGGAGCTTCCAGCATGGCCAGGGAGGCACCTTCTGGACGACGGAGATGAGCGCCGTTACTTTGGACTACAAACGGCGGCGAGAGGGCTGGTGGAGTTTGAGTGCAGGAGCCAACGAGAACACGACATCTGGACTCAGGGGATCTCCAAGCTTCTCCTCACTGTTGCCGAAAGGAAAATCAGACGCTAGATTTCAAGCATTCCTATTTTCGTGGGTTCTTAGAATCTCAATCACGGCCTCTAATCGAATCCAAGTTATCTGTAGGACTGGCAATCAGCTTAGGTAGTTAGATATGGTGTTTGGGGTCTTATAATATATAGTGAAACCATGTGGATGTGGTGTTTTGGAGGCTATTCTGTATGTCTATCAAAGCCAGTTAACAACTTAGCAAATGGGAAGCATTCAATGAAGAGGAACAAGAAGAGGGAGATGATGTGAAATAGAGAAACAATGACCATCTGGAACACATTCTGCGCCATTTGACAAAGCAGTAAATCTCAACCGTTGTATATAAAAGAATTTGTAACGGCGAAACAAGACAACCAAGACGCCCTCGCATCGCATGGCCGGGTGGACTGCGTAACAAGACAAGCTGGCAAACACCATCATGGTGGTTACTCCACGTTGACATTCCCTTCCCTGTCAATCAAGTCAATCGAATTTTAGATATAATGTATCTTCGGCTAAACAGAGCCACCAAGAAACAGAGTACCATAGTCATGGAGCTCGAAAATAAGGGTGGGATGGAGGAAAGGAAAAACTGAGCTTACAGCTGCACATATCCCCGCCAGTAGTGAAATAAGCGCATGTTATACAACAACGAGATATGGGACCTCAAGGGTGAATATGAAGAGTAGGACGTAATAAACCTGATTTTCCTTTCAGTAGCAGTAAAGCAGAGCAAGCCCTGAAACTTTCTTAGAGAAGAATAGAATAAAGAAGAGACAGGAGGGAAGGAAATGAGAATCCCTCAACTTGCTCTACTGCTGGGTTTTGTTATTTTTAGTGGTAAAGATTTTGTGTACTTACAACAGTAACTTTATAGGTGGTGGTAAATGGTAGTTGGAAAATAGATCAGCAAGTTGATCTTTACTTCTCATCAAGGTTGTCAAATCTGTTTATGCCAGTGTGCCGGTTTAGCAAATGAAATGGTTCGACCGCTGATACATATGGTTTGTGCCGGTTCATATCGGTTAATATTACAGATAATTTACAAATACTCATATTTAAACACGACATTTAACGTAAATACCTAAATGTTTATACTTGAATAAATAACATCAACATTTAACTTTTTAACACATAAAACAAATAATAAATGACTTTTTATCAATTAAATTCACTAAGATAAAATCATTTTACTTGGAGATTCATATATCGATCATGCCAGTTTTATGACCGGTACAGGTTGAACCAGATTCAACTAGTGGCACGCCGGACGGCGTGACAACATGCTTCTCACAAACTGCAATTTGATTAGTCCAAAATCCAAATTTCAGCCTTTTTATGATCACATGATCGATTTTGATGTGTTTTGACTCCCGACCCATGCAACAAGACGAACAGCCATTTCGCTTCCAAGTAGTGTGGTTGGCGCGTGAGGACTTTCACCGAGCCCTGAATGAGGACTGGAGGGCGGAGGAAGGTTTGCCCAACTCGCTTGATCACTTGTGGGCGACCTTAGCGATGTTGAACAAAGAAATCTTCGGACACATTGGGGCAAGAAAGAAAAAGTTGACAACTCGACTAAGGAAACTAGAGATTTGGAATGAAAAGAAAGCCATAGCCGCCAACATAGAGAGGGAGACAGAGAAACAGACGAGCTTGAAGAGACTTTGTGGCAGCAACAACTTCTCTGGTACCAGAAATCAAGGGCTACCTGGATAGTTGATGAAGATCGCAACACCAGATACTTCAATTTGTCTATTCTAAAGCCGCACAAATTTAACAAATTATATTGTCTGGAAAATGAGATAGACGTATGCGAGTACAAGGATGGGATGCTAAAAAACATGGCTCGAGACTTATATGTTAACTTGTTTTCTGTTGAAACAGGACCAGCTTTGAGGTTGCTTATTTGTTTTAAAGGTGCGGAAATAGATCGGTGGGGAGCTTTAGAAAAGTTCATTCCGACGGACGAAGTTCAACATGAAATAAAGCAAATGTGTGTGTGCCTGTGGGGTGGGGGGTGGTGGTTTGAAATTTCCAGGGAAGGATTGATTTTATCCGATCTTTTACCAAAAATGTTGGGTCGCGGTAAGGGCGCTCAGTAGCTCTGTTTGTCTGAGACTGTTTTGATAACCCAAGCATGATTGACCAGTTCAATAAAACACTTCTTGTTCTCATTCCCAAGGTGTAGAGACCCCAACGTATATATTAGTTTCGACCTATTGGACTGTGCAATATAGTCTACAAAATACTCACAAAGTGTTCAGTAAACAAAATTAAGCCAATAATGTCAAAGCTCGTGCATCCCACTCGGACGATTTTTGTTCCTGGGAGGTACATAACTAGAATTGTTATAGTGCTCCGCGAAGTGGTGCACTCTATGTGACTGAAGATAGGGAGGAAAGGCTCGATGGTGCTTAAGATTGGTCTCGCCAAAGCTTATGATAGATAGTGTTGACCTTTCATCCAACAAACTTTACAGGGAGCAGGCCTGCCACCGGGATCATACTTGTCACAATGAACTGCATCACGTCGGCTGAACTCCAAGTTCATTGGAATGGGGGTATGACAGAGAGATTCACACCTTCAAGGGGATTGCGACAAGGGTATCCCTTATCACCATATATCTTTACCTTATGCATGGATAGACTTGGCCACACAATCCATGAAGTAGTAGCAAGAAACTCTTGAAACCAATTCGGACGTCGCTAGGTAGCCCCCTACTTTCTCATTTGATTTTTTGTTGACGATTTAGTTTTGTTTGTAGAAGTGACTGAGAAGTAAGGAGAAGTTGTTCTGGATTGTCTAGAGTGTTTCACACAAGCTTCGGGGAAACTAGTTAGCAAAGAGAAATTTGTGATTTCTTCTCAGCTAACACGTCGAGACAACATGACATGACTACAGCTAGGCGACTAGGAATGACACCAATGCAGGATGTGGGTAGGTACCTGGGTGTGTCGGTTATCCATGAACATGTCACTCAAGCTACATATAAGTATATCATGGACAGGTTGGACTCAAAACTTGAGGGTCATAGGGGGAGGGCACTCACACTTGCAAGTCGTGTTACCCTTGCAATGTCGGTACTAAGGTCCCTCCCCACTTATGCAATGCAATCCACGCTACTCCTGATCATCAAAAGTGACCAGATTGATCACCGAATGGGACTCGGCTGCAGAGACAAGGAGTTCAACCTGGTCAGCTGGAAGAAAGTGTGTCGACCGAAGCGTGAAGGAGGTTTAGGACTCTGACAAGCCCAAGAGCTTAATTTAGCATATCTCTCAAAACTTGCATGGCTTTTCATAACACATCCAAACGAGCTTTGGGTGCGGGTTTTGCAGCCAAAGTATATTAAGAATGTTAAATGAGTATCGATAGCAAAGTCAATGGCACGTGCTTGGACCTGTGGAGAGGCATATGACGAGCATGGCCGATTATGACCTAGGGAATGCATATGTGTGTGAACAATGGGATGGACACCAGACTCTGGGTGGATAGTGGTTGGGCAATGATGATTCCCCATTGGACCATGCCTTGGAAGAGGCACGGGATGTTGATCCCAAATGATGTATTTTATATTTGTAAATTGAAGCTACCTCACGTCAATCCTAAAAAAGTGAAGTATAACTAAGCTACGGATATAGTAAAGTGGCTCGGTAATATTTCTAGGAAACCTTAGACGTACTATTACTTTGCTACGAACTATTATCTAATAAACTCAGAAGGTTGGGGTGGAACTAATCTAAACTAACCTACCTAAACACACAACCTACCAAGTGGTTGAGAGACCGCTAGAGATGAGATGGTTTCCTAGCGTTGACTCCCTCTAGCTAAAGTTTGCTACATGCGATAATCTAATGGTGGCTCGAGGTGCGAAGGTCACGAAAATGGAGATCGACTCAATGGTCATGCAATCGATCCCCAGCCTAATTAGGATAGTCGGTCCAATTCCGCCTCAACCGGGTTACCTAACCAGGGGTAGGTTCTACCTCCTCTAAACGGCTATAATTCGTCCTCACATGAGTAGAGTAGGTCGATGGTCATACACCTAACCTACAAGCATCGACTTGGCGAGATTCTAACTATAAAGGGATAGTCACCTTGATCTCTAGCTATCCCTCTAGGTCGACTAATCAAGGTAAGAAGCATTCACATACATCTAACCCTAATTAGAAGCATTAAGCTCCCTAGTCTAACTCAAATACACCATAAACTCATGTGTAAAGTAACGATAAATCCCCCTATTATCTAAGTTGCAACTAAGGCAAATTGTATACAGCCAATCCCACATTAATTTATGTCTAAAACACCCTTACCCTAGGGAATTAGAACCCTCACCTAGGTTAAGAACAAATCAATCACAATTATGCCCAAACATCAAATAGACATAGATTATAGGTTCTTAATAATTCATACACAAGACTCATAAACCACTATAAACTAGGGTTCATCTTCCCTAAACAACCTTAAAGATTTAAGTCATAGAGAGATAAGATACAAACAAAAAAGAGGAGGAACGGTGGAAATCATAACCCTAATTTTTTCTCTCTCAAAGTCGGCTCTCCTTTCTCAATCTATCAACTCTTCTGTTTAATGGCCAGAAAATCTCGGGCAAGATTACAGTTGAGGGCTGAAATATCACGGCGTGATGGCCCACGATCTTCAGCTACATTGCGTAGTCTTGGCAGAGCGGGAGATCGCGCTCTGTGTTAGCGAACGTGAACTTCATCATCGCAGTCGTGATCTTTATCGTGGTTTCGTTCAACGAGGACATGCGATATGTCTAGCAAAACTTCATGTTCATTCATTGATACTTTGTCCTGAAGATCACAGCCCATGTGTCCCAAAATCGCGCCCACGATCTCTTAGCTTCAACCTACGATCTTTGGCTTGACTTCGTGGGCTAGCTTCTTGGCCGAGATCTTGCTCCTTAGGATGTGATCATGGTGTTTGCTCCTTTTTCCTACACATTAGCCTCATTTTCTCCAATCTTTGCTTGCAACGTTAAATGCAACCTAAATAACATGATATAACAAAAGTAAGCAATCTACGAATGACGTTTTATAAATCCATTCATTCTCAAAATGACAATAAAACACCAAGTAAATGAAGACTAAATAACACCTCTTTTGGTGTTATCACCAACCAACTCGTGACACACTTTATGACGGCAGACCGTGACTAAGATATATCCACTTTTTCTCGTGCTTTACCCGTTAATTTTGTCTCATAGGTAATAGGGGTCCAGCAACCATGGGAGGGAGCGAGTGAGGATCGACCGATATGGGGTCCCAAAAGGGATGGTCAATTTTGAGTACGGTCTGCATATGAACTCGCCTAGAATCGAGAGGAGCGGCCCATTGCAGTTGTGGAAGCAGATCTGGAGTTCGAACGAGCTAGCACGGGTGGCACACTCTTATTGCTCATGAGCGCGACAAACTTCTTACCAGTGCCGAGAGACAACGAAGACATCTAGCTTGGGTGGCGAACTGCACATACTACAATTATCAACCCAAAACAGTCATGCATGTGTTGTAGGTTTGTCATTTTTCTGATTAAATTAGATGTGAATCATCCCATCTTCAGAAAACCAACAATTTGTCGGAGCTTCCTTACAGGAGTGGGTGCTGCAACACCTTCGACATCATCAAATTGTCTTAGAGTTTGTGATACGATCCCAAATGACCAACTTTACACATTTAAATTACTTGACG